TGCAAACAGTAGGGAAGAGAGTGGGCAGCCCTGTCGCGTGCCTCTACCCAGAGTAAAAAATTCTGAATTGCAGCCTGGGAGTCTAATCCTTGTTTGAGGGGAATTGTATAGAGACTGTACACCCGGTAGAAATTCGTCACTAAAGCCCAACTTCTGTAGCAGGGAAAACAAATAGGGCCAGAGAACACTATCAAAGGCCTTATTAATGTCTTAGACTTATTAGCCTTAATAATACCACTTCTTTAGAGTGCAAGTTAGCGTCTTGGATGATATTCAATGTGAGACGTATAGGGGTTTATTTACTAAAGCTGGAGAGTCCAAAATCAGACTCCCTTCTGCATAGAAACCAATCAGCTTCCAGGTTTCATTGCCAAAGCTTCATTGAACAAGCTGAGGTTAGAAGCTGATTGGTTTCTATGCAGAAGGGAGTCTGATTTTGGACTCTCCAGCTTTAGTAAATAAACCCCATATTGTCTGTAATAAGTCTATCATGAATAAACGCCACCTTATGATGATCTGACCAAAAATACAGGCATATCACCGCCTTCGTGGAGTTGGCAGGAAGGATTGGGGAGCAATATATGAAATCCAGCCTAGCATAAGAGTCATGCGAATGGGAATAAAACGTATAGTCCCGAGCTCCCACATTATGTTCCCTCCAAGAATCTACCAGCTGAAATGATTCTAATATTTTAGTAAGAGATTTAGGGAAGCAGGGGAGGAAAGTGAGGAGGCACTTCTATCCAGTAATGGATTGGCCACCAGATTAAAGTTGCCGCCTACCAATAAGTGAGGGGGCAGAAACTTATCAAGAACATCAATATACCTGGTCACGGTATACCTGTTGTACCTCCAAGGGAAATGAGTTATGAAGGAAAATCGCTACACCCCTGCTCTTGGTGGTGTGTAAGATATAAAACCCCTGCTTATATGATCTGTGGCTGCGGCAGTTTTTAACATATGTATGTTTGCTCAGAGTGTGAATGTATTTGTCTATGTATCTTTTTATACCATGAAACTTCTTTGCATCTATGACCTAGACCAGTGGTCGGCAAGCCGCGGCTCGCGAGCCACATGCGGCTCTTTACAAGCTTAAATGCGGCTCTTCTGTGTGCCGGGCGCCCACTCCCCTCCCTCCCCTCCCTCCTCTCCCCCTCCCTCCCCTCCTCCTCTCGGACGGGCGTGTGCCGGGCGGCCGCCCCCTCACCTCCCCTCACCTCCCCTCCCCTCCCTCCTCTCGGACGGCCGCCCGCTCCCCTCCCTCCTCTCGGGCGGCCGCCCCAAAAGTCAGGACTCTGCAGCTGTCAGGATGTAGGCGGGGCAGCCAGGATGTAGGCGGGGCAGCGTGACGAACTCCTCTCCTCTCACAGTCCGCCCTGAAGACCAGAACGGCGCGGGAAGCACGACGAGAGGAACGCGCGGAGCAAAGGTAAGTGAATTGACACAGGGGGGACTTACTATATGGGGGATGAATTACTATATGGGGGACTTACTATATGGGGGGGACTTACTATATGGGGGGGGACTTACTATATTGGGGATGAATTACTATATGGGGGGGGACTTACTATATGGGGGGGGACTTACTATATGGGGGACTTACTATATGGGGGACTTACTATATGGGGGATGAATTACTATATGGGGGATGAATTACTATATGGGAGATGAATTACTATATGGGGGATGAATTACTATGGGGGATGAATTACTATGGGGGATGAATTACTATATGGGGGATGAATTACTATATGGGGGATGAATTACTATATGGGGGATGAATTACTATGGGGGATGAATTACTATGGGGGGGATGAATTACTATGGGGGGATGAATTACTATGGGGGGATGAATTACTATATGGGGGATGAATTACTATGGGGGATGAATTACTATGGGGGGATGAATTACTATGGGGGGATGAATTACTATGGGGGGATGAATTACTATGGGGGGATGAATTACTATGGGGGATGAATTGCTATGGGGGATGAATTGCTATGGGGGATGAATTGCTATATGGGGGATGAATTGCTATATGGGGGATGAATTACTATATGGGGATGAATTACTATATGGGGGATGAATGATTACTATATGGGGGATGAATTACTATGGGGGATGAATTACTATATGGGAGATGTATTTTCAGTTTTAAAAATGTGGCTCTCAAAATAAATTTCAATCGTGGTTTTGGCGAGATTTGGCTCAGTTGAAAAAAAAGGTTGCCCACCACTGACCTAGACATTTAGGTCTAAACTCTGATATTCTGGGTGTTCTCACATCATTAGCGGCTGAGCAATTCCAATACAAGGTACTAAAGTTACAGGTACAGAATGGGTTTTTTCAAGGTTTGAACTGTTGTCCATGTCTTTCTTTTCCAGTGACACCTACTTCCCTCATTTGTTTTTCTTTTGGGGGTCAAAGACAGCAGTACATTTTTTTTTTCAAAGTTCTAACATTTACCCACTCAATCCCCACAAAGCTTAAGTGAAAATAGCTTGAGCTGTGCATTAACTGCATTGAAGCACCCACTCAATTATAATTATTATTGTAAATATCTCTACTGGCAGTGACATAAGGGCTGGACTTAAAGGGTGCACGTAGGAAGCAAGTCTGCTTTGCAGATCTGCTTCTACTGTACATTCAATACCTGTACTTACATTGTTTTACCTTTCCCCTGTGTTATATTTCCTCTGCCTGGCATTGTTACTTTTCACAGAAGCTTTGATTCTGTAAAGAAAGTGCTACCAGATTCTCTATAGTGGGAAATTGACACATGTAGGGAAGGGAAGGGGTGCAGAGAAGGAATTAAACTCTGGGTACAGAGATAACAGCCAGATTTTTGTCACAAGAGGGTAAAGCAGAGAGAGCAGTGGAGAGCAACTGCCTGTGGATCAGAAATTTTATATTCTATAGTTGTGACTAAGCATTTGTACATTAGGACAGATATACCTTTAAAAAGTAAAATCTGGCAAAATTCTTCATATTATATTAGGAACTTTCAATTCTAACCACTCTGTTGTAAAAACCAATGTACAGACTGAAGTAGAGATTAGCAAGCTATGTCACAAGTATCATGGTAGGCATGAAGTCTCTCTCTACAAATACAGCACCTTTGGGACCTTTAGGCAAATGTTTTCTGTAGTTGTAGGCCTGGTAGCAAAAGATATGGGGGATTTTCAATCATTTCCGTGTACACAATTGTTTCAGTTTAAGTATATTTTCTAGAACTTCAGTTTTAGCCATTCTCCTGGTGATTTACTCCTAGCTTTTGAATTGTTATCATGTTTCATTACCTAAAATTAGGTTTTTATAACAAACATACGGCATTCTACCATATATATTCCTAAAATGTATTTTTTTTTTAATGTTAAAATACACTCATGATGCATCTATTTCTGTGAGGGGACCAAGGAAATGCTGCCATTCACCTTCCCAATAGCAGAACGTGATGCATCATGGGAGAGTAGTAAGATGAGTTCCATGAATGGAGGAGGGGGGCGGGGCGTGAGCAGCATAACTTTTCTGATTAAGAGCTGCTGATGTTAACTCTCACAGGGCAGGATCTGGTGACTATGAAGGAAACACATCACAAGAATATTTTGAGCAGAAGCACCACCTGCAGGTAATATAATATTTTATAATATACACCATTACACATACCTATGTATATGGTGCTGTATTAAAATAAAATACTAAACGTCAGCTTTAAAAAGAGAAAATGTTGTGCACAATTATTCTACCTTCACTATGCTTCACAGTTGGAAAAAGGGTTGGTGTTAGACTGCAGCTGTTTGTTTTCTCCAAAATTAACACTGCATAGACTTACCATTTACCAAAAACTCAATTCTGTCACTTTGCTCCAGTATGTATTTTGAGCATCCAGGTGGTCTTTAGCAAACTTAATATTAGCAGCAGAGTTTTTGGAAGCAGTAGTTTTTTCTGTGATATTTTCTTATGCCCACAATTTGGATTTCAGCGATTTTCCAATCATAGATTCCTAAATAAAGATGTTGTCAATTGCAAAAAGAAGCCTACATATCATCTGCTGTTATGGTAGGAAAGTTTCTCATCTATATGAACATTGCATCTATGCAGGACATCTAGAGAAAGTAGCAACAGTAATGAATTTGAATTTGTAAACTGTCTGTCTGACTGTTGACAGACAGAATCCTAAATATGTAGAAATAACTGAACCATTTCCTGCCTTGTTGCCTTCAATAACTATATATCTGAAGTCCTTTTAAAGCAGAACTCTAGGGATAAAAATAAAAATGAATAGCATAAAAACAGTAAAATAAATAAAAAAAAACAGCTTTTGCTTCAACCATTACTTTCAATCAATAGCTACCACCACAACCGTTCCTGGGTTTAATGGTGGCCAGTGTCAAACAATCCACTTTCTCTTAGCCCAGGCTGTTTGTGGGCACAGCCCCCCTGGGTGCATCATTATGCCAACTTTTTTGTTTAAAAGCGTGATTTGGAAGGGGGATTTAATTGCTTTAAATCTATTTTGATGAGACCACACTGCAGTTCAACAGTATTATTTTTTGATAGGTAACTAAAACGTTCTGATATTTATACAGCCCAACACTCAAAGCAACGTTTAAGTACTGGCCAGTTTGCTTATTGGCTGGAATAACTAACTTCTTTTCAGTGTGATTATCCTAGGGCTTTCCATGTGTTTTCCATAAATGCCCTTAGAACTATTCATATAAAACTAAAAAAGTGGTTGACATGTTTTTTTTTTTTCTCAAACTGTCTATTCTATATCTATATCTATTTCTAAGACATTGGTAACACCCTGGACCGGTTTCAGGCTCGGGTAACACTGTTGCAACATAGGGTTCCGAATTGTGAGACCCCCAAGATGGATGACATGTGAAATTCAATGTTTCCCTTAACTGATACTAGACAAGTCGGTCCAACTTTAGAAAAAGTTCCTGCACTACTTTGGTCCAACTTTGATTCGACTTTAATGCCACAGAGTATAAAAAGTGACATCAAAGTCATATCAAAGTTGGACTCCAAAGAAAGTCATGTGACTTTGGAGTTGGGCTAGTGTGAACCGAGGCTTGTTTAGATTATAATTTTTTTGTAATGCATTTAGTTCCCATGGTGTGTCCCTTCTATTATAGCACCCAGTCTGAATTATCAGATACTACTGATGGAGGAGCCACAGTGACCTCTAGAGATTCAGTCTCATCAGTAGTGAGCCCCATGAGATGCCCCGGTACCTTTTTCATAGGCTTTTTTGAGTTTGGGCAAGGACACAGGGGCCCCATGATCCCCTATTGCCCGGGGGCCACATGAGTTGTCAGTCTGCCCTGGTGTTTATTAAAGATGAATCTGGGGAAGACCGTATTAGAACCTCAAAAAAACATATATCCACCGTAGAGAATGGACATGAGAAAAAGAGAAAAAGGAAAACAAGAAGGGGAAGTGGAAAAAAAAGACTAAGCAGAACCAAATACCAGTGGCAAGTGAGAACCAAGAAGGACTGACCAAGGTGACTTAAGCAACAGAGTTAATAATGTTGTTAATTTGTCTAATACTCCTCTCACACTCTGTAACATTTTGTTGTTATCTAGAGGCTTGTCATTTGCCCCTGTCTCTCACTTTGATGTCTTTGATACATTGCTAGATGTTAATAAGTTCATTAGAAATATTTTGTTGAGGAAGCATTTTTGTAATGACTGCACCCTGTGAAGAGATTTTTCCTATAATAGAGGAAGGGGTGGATAACTTTAAATTTCAGGACTTAGTTGTCATGTCCACTCTTGAAAGGCTGCAGTTAGAATCCTCAGGTGGTATGTATGGTTTGGAATTGGAGATTGTACCCAGAGGCAATAGTTATTTTTATCCAGTGCATACAAGGAGTGCTGCTGTTGACATATTTCAGAGCTTAGTGGAGAGGAAACTTTTTGATCTAAAGAAGAGCTTTCGTACTGCTTCCACCCGTATCAGAGATAATTTGACTAAAGCAAGGAGACATGCTCTCTATGAACTTAAGTCACGCCATTACGCGCAATGCTGATAAGGGTGGAGCGGTGGTGGTCCTCTCCACAGAGGAATACAAACTTGAGGCTTTACGCCAATTTAATGACTTTCTACTTGTTAGATATTGAAAATGGATTCAACACCTGCATTTCAACAATAACTGTCATGCTTACTAGATCAAGGAAGAACCATGGGAGTATTATCTCCCAAGGCAGCGGAGCATCGTATGGTCGATTGCCCTGTAATTCCTGTAATTCCCATTTTTCATCACCTGCCCAAATTGCATAAAAAGGATAATCATGTGAGAGGGTGACCTATAGTTACTGGAATTGGCTTCTTCTTAGAGTGGTTTGGGGCTTGGGTTGATCAACATTTGCAGCCACTTGTTATCAGGTTGCCAGGTTATATAAAGGATACATCATCCATATTGGTGCACATTCAGGATATATGTTGGCAGGAATCATATATATGGGTGACATCGGATGTTAAATCCCTTTATTCCTGTATCCCACATCATCTTACATTGGAGGCTTTAGGATTACACATTATAGCTCTTATGGAGTCGAACTTAAAGAATTTTTGATGGCAGTAGATTTTCTGCTTACCCATAATTATTTTGTGCTTGACCGGGTCTTTTACCCCCCATGCAAAGTGGCATCAATGGGGTCTAAATTTTCTCCATCCTTCGCCAACCTGTACATGGGTTGGTGGGAAGAGCTGTTTTTATTCTCCCACTTGAAGCCATGTGCTGCTAACATCATATGGTATATTGATGATAAGGTGTTACTTTAGAACAATGTGGAAGAGGCCTTTTCTTCCCTGGTCTCCTACATTATTAATAATGATCTCAATCTGCAATTTAATTTTGAAAACGGTGTGGACAGTATTACTTTTCTTGATATTATACTCATGAGTAACTATGCAACAGGTACTGTTAATACACTAAAATGTAATACTTAATACTTTCCGCAAGGAGTGTGTGGGTAACTCCCTCCTCCTTGCATCTAGTGGTCTTCCTGGACATACCACTAAGTCTGTGCCCGTAGGAGAATTTATTACAGCCAATCGTAACTGCTCTAAGGCAGATGACTGCATTCAGGAATGTCATCTAGTTTCGTCCAGACTAAGAGAGTGGCGATATAGCCAGTGGCATATTAACAGAGCAATCGATATTGTTTCTAAAAAAGATAGACTTACCCTGGTCAGGGTTAAGAAAACTTTTAATACCAGGAGTAGAGCCTACCAGTATAACAATCCTGTTACATTTGTTTCAACGTTTACACAGGAGTATAAACAAGTAAATAACATAATTTGTAAATATATACCTGTTCTGCTAGAAAACAAGGAAACGTGCTAATACTTTAGGGAGCATTTTATCCTCGAGTTTGTTTTTATCCTCTCCACCAAATAAAACCGAGCTCCACACGGTTGGTTCCTTTTGTTGTGGGCTGAAAAATGCCGTTACTGTGATAGGCATAGTACAAATCATAAGAGTATTGTTTCCTGATCCACTGGCACAGAGCACAAAATTTGTGCTTTTATAAACTGTGGAACCAAAAATGTTATATATGTGATTGAATGCACCGCATGCATATTGCAATATGTCGGATGAATGTCAAGCTCTCTTCGTGCCAGGATTGAAAAACATTACAATGGCGCTAATTACTCAGCAGAAAGGAACCAATCACAAGTTTCCAGACATTTTAAGTTTGTACACTTAGGTGATATGCAGTCATTTGTGTACTGTGGGTTGCAAAGAGTTAAGATGTCACCCTGCAGTGGGGATGCCTGGAAAAGGGAAGTCTGGCGGATATTTACATTGGGCACCAGGAACCCAGTAGGTTTGAATTTCAGGTGGGATGTTGACCTCTTTCTCGTTCCAATTTTTAGGAGGTGGTTGTTAATTCCTATGCTGAAATTGTGCTGAAATTTAAAATCCTTTTTTTTTTTTTGCTTTTTTATTTATATTTTTCCTCCCTAGGTAACACGTTCTTGTTTCCCCATTATGTATTTATTTTGTGTATGAAAGTGCCACAGAATTTCCATCATAAAGATATGATTGTTGTGCTCCACATTTTTCCTCTGAAAGTTTGGTTTTAATTGTGGTTTTGCCTAATTGTTTAATTAGTTGATTACAAATGTTTTGAATCCACTCCCACTTTTTGGGTGGGAATCTTTTTATTTATATGTCCTGTTTTATATATGTAATATGCTGTGAACAAGACTGTGTGCTGAAACACGTCCGCCTGCTTTTATGTCACTCCTGTATACTCAATAAAGATCATCACATGGATTTTGGAGTTTCTGGCTCTCTCTATCAATTTATACTTCTTTTATAACAACCTGCACAAATAAGGCAACAGTTAATAAATAAAAAATGTACAGTTCTAACTCAGCATTATAAGATTTGGTAAACTTGACAATTTGATAAACGTGCTTACTAAATTTGTATGACATGTGAATGTTTTTGAATAAGTATTAACAAATGAGCCAACCCTAAGTTAGTGAACATCCTTGGTATTAACAAATACCAAATTATAGGCTTTTAAAATATTTATTATGTAAATCCCAAGAGATCTATTTTATGTAAATACATGAAAAACAAATGTGGCCTTTTTTTTCAGAAAAATAATTTCCAGATTATTGTTATATGCAGCACAATTATAAGGTAACAGCATATTCCTTATCAACAAACTATTTATTTAAATGGATGTAGCAATTTAAAGTGGTTTAAGAACATTCTGTCAACAGCTAGCTTCGTGGTGAGTTATGTTGCAGTTGGAAAACTTATTGTAAACAATGTTACTGAGCATCTTTCTGTAGATACCTCATAATTCTAGTTAGTTACTTGGTCAGACTGAAAAAAAGACACATGTCCATCTATTAAAAAAAAAAATCTTAGCTCCGAGTTACATCAGTGTTAAAGCCGGCCATACATGATTCATTTTTTTTTTGTTCAACTAGTGGGTTGAAAGAAAAAAATTGAGCCAATTCTAGTGTTGTGCTATTGTGGCCTTTCCCACCAGCATAATACAATGATCAATGTTGCTGGCTTTAGCTTGTCATTCAGAAAGCACCCAATAGGCTAGTTTATATACAATTCAATCAATAGATTGACTTGTGCACAATCAACTAGCCGGATTGAAAATTCTGCCAGTTCCTGCTTAATCAGCCATGTATGGCCGGCTTAAGGCAAACCTCACTTATAAAGCATGGACTAATTTGTTCCAATGGAAAAATGATCCTCAAAGGCACTCTTCAATATAAAAATTATCTAAGCAGATCAGGAGAATAGGGCTATCCTCTTCAGGCGCTGGCTAATCTCAAGGTGAAATTAATAATTTGCCTGAAATATTAAGATAAGAATTCTGTGGGTGCATGATGTTGTCTGTGGGTGCACTTGGATATGGAGATCACCCCCTAAATGTCAAAATTGTCTTCTAATTGTTTAATGCCTGTAAAGACCTGTCATGTTAAAAAAAAAAAGAAGAAGAAGAAAGATTATCCCTCCCAGGGGCGGACTGACCATTTGGAAACTCGGGCACTGCCCGAGGGCCCGGGGTCAGTAGGGGGCCCCATGAGATGCCCCTGGTACTTTTTTCATAGACTTTTTTGAGTTTGGGCAAGGACACAGGGGCCCCATGATCCCTATTGCCAGGGGGTCCCATGAGTTGTCAGTCCACCCCTGATCCCTCCTATGCTTGCTTTTGCCAATGTTTACTAAAATAAAGATAATGGTATAATACAATGCGGATAGGATACAGAGGTTGGGAAACAGCGGTACAAATTCCACATATCCTATGACAAATATAAATTTACATTTAAGAGTATAAAAGACAGTATATTACTAATAATATAACAAAAAGAAAGAGGGGAAGGCACCCTAGCTATCTAGAGAGTGAATGCCACAGAACAATGAATAGATATGGCTAATTTTATTAAAGACCTATAAGTGGGACATTCCTAGCAAAAGTGGGAAAAGTAGCTATTTAGAAACCATAAAGTGACCCCCCCCCCCCCCCCAGAGGCCACCAAAGGGATAGCTTTGAGAATGATCATGGAATCTTGAACTATTGAGCTCACAGGTGAAGCAGATTTACAGTATGTTGGGAGGATGAGGAATACTCAAGCTGAGGCTGCTAAACTCATTTGTTGTGGGTGTCATTGAGTATTGCCATCAAGTTCTCATTCATAATGGTTCCCCAAATTCTGCCTTTTACATTAGAAAAAGTTATACTTGGGGACTTCCATGCATGTGCTATGGTTTGATTAGTAGCAAAAAGCATATGAGATATGAGGGTCTTGCTATTGGTATTGCTATTGGTTTAATTGGTTTTAAGAGGAAGTACCTCCCAGATTCTACCCTAATCCACAAGCAATGCACCTTAGGGCAAGTCCACAAAACTTGAGACATGGTACCAGCTTTATCCAGGATGGAGGATATAAGGAGAAGATTATTGTGAGATGTGTTGGTGTATAGTACCAACAGCATAAGACCTTAAGAAGTTTACAGGTCTTACATGTTGTGAGAAGTTGTGAGTCAGATTTCTAATCCTCAGGAGAAAGGGATTGTTGAGCTCCATTCCCATTGAGCACAATACATAGGAGTCTGGCGGGAGGGGGGTGCTTGAGAAGGATGCATACAATTGGGAAACAACACCTTTCGTAGGAGAATTAGATTGGCATAGAGATTCAAACGCAGTCAAGGTTCGACAAGGATCCCTATTTTTTGGTCAAGAACGCAATAAAATTAGGCAGTTGAATATTTCAGAATAGTTCTAAAGTAATTACTGGAGATTGTATGTGAAGTTTTCAGTTGCTGAAAAGTTAGAACTGCTGGCATATTGAGAAGGTGTCAAGGTCCTACCTTTCTTCAGAGCTTGTGCATCTCCATGAGCTGGCATCCATCTTGGTTTTCTGCAAAGCATGATGGGAACCTTTATGCCTTCAGGCTTCTGCGGCTCCTCCTCAGAAGGGTGTGGTTGAGCACATTTAAACCTGCTGTCTGCAAGTGTGCTCTGCACTTGTGTCCTGTATGTTGCCCTGTTGCAAGCTCTTGTGTTGTTCCCATTGCTCTCCTGGTAACCGACTCGGCTTGGACAAGACTATTCTTTGCGTTAACCCTTTACCTGACCTCCCGTTGCTGAACCCGCCCGTGACCTGAGTATTCTTTGCCTACCGTCTAGTACTGTCTGCTCCGTTGTTATTGACCCGGCTTGTCTGACTACTCTACTCGTGTTCCCATCTAGCTCCCACCAGCTGTACGCCATTGGCGGCAGTCGTTATCGCAGCTGGGGTCACTCGGGGGGCCGCGACCTGGTCTCAGGCTGCGTCAAGTCCATCCCCACCATCAGGGGCCCTGGTGAAGGGTAGCCTGGGGCTTAGACTCCGCGCCCTGAGGGGCTCTGGTCTGTGTGGTAGTGGCTGTCGTCAGTCGCAGCGTGACCGTACCATAGGCCTGCCTGCCCCCATTCCAGCGTTCCTGCCCTGACATTACACAAGTGCCATGAATCCTGACGGTGCAGGTATGCCTTCGATCCCTATGTTATACTCGCCAGACTTGACCAACAGGATCGCTTGTTGGATCAGTTCGCTCAGGCGTTGCAGGCTCTGCTTGCACGCACAGCGCACCTTACCCCTGGGGCTATTAGGTCAGTTGTTACTCCGGTGGACTCTCCCACTGTTGCTCCGGTTGTTGCACCTACCTCCGCATCTGTTGCGGAACCCGCGGTACCCAGAGGTATGACTGGTTCTGCCCCTCTTCCTCAGCGCTTTGGGGGGGAACCGAGTCAGTGTCGTGGTTTCCTTAACCAAGTGGGGATTTACTTTGAATTCATACCTCACGCTTTCCCTACTGAGAGGGCAAAGGTGGGCTTCCTAATCTCGCTACTCTCTGATAGGGCCTTGGCCTGGGAGAATCCCTTATGGGAGAGGAATGACCCGGTGATTCACGTGTTTTACCCGTTTCGTTGCCTCCTTCCGTACGGTATTCGACGTACCCGCTCGCTCCGCTTCTGCTGCCAAATTGCTCATGTCCATGCATCAGGGTTCACGGACCGTTGCCGAGTACGCCATCGAATTTCGTACTTTGGCGGCAGAGGTGGGTTGGAACAATGAGGCTCTAGTGGCTGCTTTCTCTCATGGTCTCTCTGATGCGTTGAAGGACGAGATCGCAGCCAAAGAACTGCCTGTGGAGTTAGAGGCACTCATCTCCTTCCTAATCTTGATTGACACCAGGCTCAGAGAGAGGCCTTCATTTAAGGAGCGGCTGCGGAGGCCTCCTAACCGTTTGGCGCCTACGTTTTCTGTCCCACCCCGTGCCTCCCTCTCCTCCCACGCCTCCTGGGGATGGTTTGTCTGGTAGTGAGCCCATGCAGCCGGGGTTTGCTCGCCTTTCCGAGGGGGAGCGGGCCTCTCGGCGTCGGGAGGGTCGCTGCTTGTACTGTGGACTCGGGGGGCATTTTCGGCAGTCCTGTCCGGTCCGTCCGGGAAACGCCCGCACCTGAGATCCTGTCGGGGGCAGATCTTGGGTGGAGTTTCCTCGTCCCCCCGGTTTTCCGTAAAGATAAACCGCTTATCACCGTTGTCCTCTCTTGGGCAGGAGGCTCGGTGACGGCCCAGGCGTTGGTAGACTCTGGGGCTGGCGGTTTGTTTATGGACAGTTCGTTTGCTGCCCAGTACTCCATTCCTCTGCAGGCTCGAGAGACTCCATTGGTTCTCGAGGCGATAGATGGCAGGCCCTTGCAGCCGTCGCAGGTTACCCACGAGACCCTGCCGGTGGAGGTAGCTATTGGGGCTGTTCACAGGAATTGGCCTGTTTCCAGGTAATTTCTTCCCCACACTACTCCGTGGTTTTGGGGCTATCCCTGGCTTCAGAGGCACAATCCGACCTTTGATTGGCGATCGGAAGTCGCCGAGATTCTCTCATGGTCACCACGGTGTGGGGCTGGTTGCATCCGTGGTCCGGTTAAGGTGCTGTGCACCTCCTCGGACTCTGTGCTGCCCACTGAATATGGGGAGTACCTGGACGTGTTTGACAAGGTGCGCGCCGGTGCTCTGCCTCCTCATCGTCCATACGATTGTGCCATAACCTTACAAACTGGTGCTACTCCTCCGCGTGTGGCAGGGTGTATCCTCTTTCGGTGGCAGAGAATCAGGCCATGGAGGAATACGTTGCGGATGCGCTTTCCCGGGGGCACATTCGCAAGTCTACGTCTCCAGCAGGAGCTGGGTTTTTTTTCGTGAAAAAAGAAGGGAGGTGAGCTGAGACCCTGCATTGATTTTAGGGGTCTCAATCGGGTCACAATTAAAAATGCTTATCCTATTCCTTGATCACCGAGTTGTTTGACCGCCTCAAGGGAGCAACGGTCTTTACTAAACTCGACCTTAGGGCTGCCTACAACCTTGTACGGATCAAGGAGGGCGATGAGTGGAAGACCGCGTTCAACACCAGAACCCAGGCCACTATGAATACCTGGTTATGCCGTTCGGGTTGTGTAACGCACCCGCGGTCTTTCAGGAGTTTATTAACGATGTCTTACGTGACTTGTTGCAGCAGTGCGTGGTGGTCTACTTGGACGACATCCTGGTTTACTCTGCGTCTATGGAGACTCATATCCAGGATGTTAAGCGGGTGCTGCAACGGTTACGTGAAAACGAGCTTTTCTGTAAGCTCGAGAAGTGTGAATTTCACCAATCCCAGGTTGCCTTTTTGGGCTACATCATTTCCCCGGTGGGTTTTTCTATGGACCCTGAGAAGGTTTCAGCGGTTCTGCAGTGGCCTCGTCCCAGTGGTCTTCGGTCCATTCAGCGCTTTTTGGGATTTGCCAACTATTATCGGAAGTTTATCAGGAACTTTTCCACACTGTCCAAGCCTCTCTCAGATCTGACCAAGAAGGGCAGTAACCCTCACGAGTGGTCACCCGAGGCCATCTCAGCTTTCAAGGCTCTGAAAGCCGCCTTCACTTCGGCCCCAAATTCTGTCTCATCCCAATCCTGGGTTGCCTTTTGTTCTCGAGGTTGATGCATCTGAGACAGGAGTAGGCGCCCTCTTGTCCCAGCGTCGGTCACCCGAGGGACCCCTACTTCCCTGTGGGTTCTACTCCAAGAAGCTTTCCTCTGCAGAGTGCAACTACCAGATTGGAGACAGGGAGTTGTTGGCCATTATTCTGGCTCTCAAGGAATGGAGGCACCTGCTTGAGGGTTCTGTGGTCCCAGTCCTAGTTCTCACTGACCACAAGAACCTCACATATCTCTCGGAGGCTAAGAGGTTGACACCCCATCATGCCAGGTGGGCTCTGTTTTTGTCACGTTTTAATTATGTGGTCTCTTACTTGCCTGGTTCCAAGAATGTCAGGGCTGATGCCTTGTCGCGGCAATACTCTGAGCTGTCCAGGGAGGACACTGAGCCGACCTCGGTCATTCCTCCAAACCAGATCCTGGCTGCCATTTGTACCAACCTGACTTCTCCCCTTGGGAGCAGATTTTGGCGGCTCAAACTAACGCTCCCCCTGAGAGAGACCGGCTGGAAGATGTTTTGTACCTGAGGGATTGCGTACCCGCTTGCTACGTACCTACCATAATTCCAAGACTGCCGGTCATCCTGGTAGGAACCAATTGTCCTGGGTCGTTTCTCGGTTATTCTGGTGGCCATCTCTCCGTTCTGACATC